TATGAAGATATTCCAACATCAGTAAGGAGGACCTATAGTAAAGAGGACCTATAGTATGGATGACCTATAGTATGGATGGCAAGTCTAAACTTTAGTAATTTCTTGAACACATAAATTAGGGGAATTACCCTAGTAGAAGAAGGGAAAAATAGTCTTAGTAGATCTCCCCCTAATCCATGTAAAAGTCTTCCTTTGGATTAAATCAAAAGTTTTGTCTGTGTCCCATTGCTGAGAGTGGTGGATAATAGAGTTCCTTGTGTACCATATAGACCATGTGATCACCAAGAAAATCAAAAACCAAACATCAGATTTGACCAACTTTTTGATCCCTGTACAATGAGCTTCACTTAGGAGAGAAATTGTATTGGGGAGGGAAAGGGAAATCCCCCACCATTTGTAACATCTCATCCACAGTCTTTCAATCTTTGGACATTGGATAAACAAATGGTTATCATCCTCAAGCTCTCTTCTACAAATGCAACACATAGTCTTTGGCTCTTCAAGCTGAATACCCCTTTTTATAAGGCTTGATTTTGTTGGGAGACCGTTAAGAAGGAAGCACCACCCAAAGCAACTGATCTTTGATGAAATTAATCGGCCCCATAGCCTTTTGCAAATATGTGATTCTAAAATTCCATTCTTACTAGTAATCAACAAGTAGGCCTTACCAACTGTATATCCATTTCTAGTGTCAAAGCTCTAGCTTCTTTGGTTCGGTTGAGAGGATAGTGCTACCTCACCCAGGAGGATCTGATTTAAACTTCATTCTTCATTCATTTCCCTACCAAATTGTTCATGTCTCCAAACATGTTCCAAACTCCAGGAGCTATTAGAGTAGTGTCATGTTTCCATAATAGTTGCATTCCTATTAGATGCTAAATTAAAGAGTCTAGGAAAGGATACACTTAGAGATTTGGTTCCTACCCACTTGTCCCTCCAAAATTTGATTTTGTCTCCCATTCCCAACTAGTAGAACCCATTTCTAAACACCTATGACCCTTTACCCCCCTCTGTTCCTAGTGCCACTATATTTCTTCACAAAGTAGATACACTCCTAGCTTGTGTTTGTTCAATATCCCACTCCATATTGCCACCATAATACTTACCAACAATAACTTTCTTCCACAGAATATTTTCTTCTTTCCCAAATCTATCCCACCACTTCCCTAATAAAGCTATATTTCTATTCTCAATATTTGGCACACCTAGACCTCCCTTACTTCTACCCTAACATACTTTCTCCCAACTCAACCATGCTAACTTACTCTTTTCCTCTGTATATCCCCACAAAAATTTCCTTTGCAAACGTACTAATTCATGTAACACAATTTTAGGGATTTTAAAAATAGACATAAAGTAAATAGGGAGGGTAGAAATAATAGACCTTAGCAATGTAACTCGGCCACTAATCGATAAGCACTTTGCTTTCCAGACTGCCAACTTCCTATTAAAATTTTGAATAACTAGAACCCTAGCTTTCCTTCTGCCCATAACATCCCCAACTGGCATCCCAAGGTAGGTGCAAAGGAGAGAACCTGATTTGCAATTCAACATAGCAGCCGTTGTTCTCCTCCATTCATCGGAAACATAAAATGAATACAACACACTTTTGTTGAGGTTGATCTTTAAACTTGAAATCAATTCAAACCATCTTAAAATCCCTTTCACAACATTAATATTATTTGTGTTTGCCTTCCCCATAATAACAGTGTCGTCGACCAATTGGAGGTGTGAAATGTTAAGACCATGGGGACCTACATCAATTCCTTGAAATAATTCCTTACTAGTTGCTAATTTTATCAAAACATTCAATCCTTCAGCAACAATTAGGAAGAGAAACGGAACAATTGGGTCACCTTGTCTAATTCCCCTCTCCATTTTGAATTTGTTTGTTGGGCTCCCATTAACAAGAATTGAGAATGAAGTAGTTTGCAAACACTCCTTTATCCACATTCTCCATTTTTCACCAAAACCGAGCCTCATCATCATTTCATCTAAAAATCCCGAATTCACACAGTTGTATGCCTTCTTGAAATCTGCTTTAAACATGAAACTACTAGCCTTTTTCCTCCTTATCTCCTCTATTGCCTTGTTCAAGATCAAGATACCATTAGTAATTTGTCTTCCTCCCAGAAAGGTAGATTGTGTCTCACTTATCACCTTGGGCAAAACTTTCTTAGAGCCTGTTTGGTGTGGCTTGTGAGAGCTTTTGCTTTTTGAGTACTGTTATGAGTGATAAGTTTAAATTTTTATTGGAGGGAAAATAGAGCTTTAGCTTTTAGAAAGGTGAAAAAGTGAATAAAAAGTAAATAAAAAAAGAGTTTATGAAAAGTTTGGATTTAAAACTTTTGAACTTTTACTGTTTAAGAGTTTTTTGAGGTTAAAAAAATATTTAAAAGTGTAAATTTTTAAGAGGGAAATTTGAATTCATAAGACATGAATAGTGTTCAAAAGCTGAAGCTCCTAGGAGCTGATCCAAACAGGCCCTTAATCTTGTTTGCCAAGACCTTTGATATAATTTTGTATAGGATACTAATCAAGCTGATAGGTTTATTGTCTTTTAGTTCTACAGGATTAGATTTTTTTGGGACCAGAACAATAAATGAAGAGTTTAGCCTCTTGACCAGTTTAAATATAAATTAAAACTCCAATTAAAAGAAAATTAAAACTGATAACTCATTTATATATATATATATATTTTTTAAAAAGTACTAAAATTTTAAAGAATCATTTTAGTACCAAACAACAAAAGTTAAGGGATTCCCAAAGAAAAATGAAAAAAATGAAAAAAAAAAAAGTTGAGGGAAATTAATCCGAGGACCAAAAAGTGCCCTCTTCACGGTTCACTTCTCATGGAATGCCGGTGCCGGAAGAACACCCACTCGTAGTTCTTGGCGGATTTTCCTATCGTTTTTTTTTCAGCATTTATTTCGATTCTTTTGTGGATTCAGTCCTCCATCAAGTCTTAAAAGGGATGAAATCCCAGAGTGGAGGGTTTCTTTTTCCTCTGGCTCTTCCCCGCTTCCTTTCTGGATCTCTTTGTACTCCCGTTCCCGATTCCCCTGCTGAGATTAGTCTGTTGATCGGAGAATGGAGTTGCTCCACCGGAGGGTGTAGATTAGAGTCGAGATCGGTGATCGCAGTTTGTTCTGTTTCCTGAAAATCAATTTAAGGTACTAAAGACTTGTTTGAGTTCGAGCTTTTAGCTTTTTTCTGATTTTGAGCTTTCATCGAACCTTTGGCATCAAATGGATTGTTATAGATTTGGTTTTCATTGATTAGCATGATCTTGTTAATTTGCCGTGATAACCTGTTGATGATTGCTTCTGTTCCTTTCAATTTCATGATATATGTTGTATATTCATGATATTTCTCTAGTTCTAGTGATAAATTTTTAGCTGACGTACTTTGTTCATGTGGCTGTTTGAACTTAGTTTGGATTTAAGTCATATGCATTCCTTTTTACTTGAAGTTGAACTGATATATTTTTTTTTTTCTTTTCTTTTTGAGTAGAAGTTTAACTGAGATTGATTTGTTGCTATTGATTTAGCAGAATGTGCAATTCAGCCCTTTTACTTTACTTCTTGTGGCATATCAGCCCTCAACTTAGAAGTAGTGCAAATCAGCCCTACTACTAATTAAATCCCGCATATCAATCCTTGTGTTAAGGATGACGTCATCTTTCCGTCTGCCCCTCTGCTACCTCGTTACCATGGGATGACGTGGTCATCTCTTTGCGATGACTTGGGCAAAAAGAACCACCTCACATTTTTCTTTTGGGAAATGCTTTTGAAACAATCATTTTGTATTATTTTTTAGTATAATTTGATATATCATTAAAATAATTGATTCTTTTAATTCATGTAAGACTCGTGATATTAAATGTATTTATTCATTTAATAACATGTAAAAATTATATAAAAAAATAAAACAAAAATATTATTCTTATAACACCACCATTTTCTTTTCCTTTCCCCCCTACAAACGTGGCATTTAGTTTTCGTTTGAATTGTGAGAATTCAAGGTGAAGTAGAGGAGAGTGAAGAACAGGTTTTTCTCCTCTTTGTTTGGATAATGTTATCAAGGGAGTGGGACAGAAGGGGAGGTAGATAGAAGTGGCGGATTCCTTCTAAATCCTTTATTTTTAATTTTTTCAATTTGAAAAGATTCAAAAAAATTTGGTTTAATTATATTTTATTTTTTTCTAAAAATGTAATTAAAATTTTAATTTTAATTTTAATATATAATTTTATAAAATTTTAATTAATTTTATAATTATTTTTTTAATTTATTTAATTAAATAAAAAATATATATAATTTTTCCTTCCTCCCCTTCCTTTTTTAATCTATCAAGATAAAATTAATAGTAATACTTTACTCTCTTTCCTTCTTCCCCCTTTCTTTCGTTTTCCTTTTCCTTTACTAATCTCTATCTAAACATATCTTGCGAATAAAAATCCCAAGTCTTTCACAGGGCAAAAGAAAAAATCCCTAATCCTTCTGACCTAATTAAACTAGAAACTTATGCTTTTTCCTTGCTAGATTCTTACGCAAAGAACAATTGTTTCTTTCTTCAATCGAAACACCATTGAAAGAAAGCATAGTCGTCTTGGCAAGAGAAAAACAAGGCATGATCCAAAAGTGTGAAGCTATAATGAAGTTCGTATCGAAGCTCGATAAAGATGAAGAAACAGAGGATGCGTACCGTCGACAATGGAAGTGAAATAAGCTACAAGAAGCAAGAAAACTGAGACACATTTGCTCGAGGAGTTTCAAGTCTGAGCCATATTATTTGCAAAGAATCTTCTCCTCTCTATCTCTTGGTCTCTCTTGGGTTGCTTTTTTTCGTGTACTCTGTTTTGCAAAGAAACTAGTTCTATAAGAATTTAGCGTTCCCAGATAAAATCTGTGTCCGAAAACCCAGATTCTAGATTCCAAGCAACCAAAATCTCATTAGAAACTATTGAAGAAACAAAGATAGTTTTTGGGTTTGGACATGTAAACCAGTGAAGGAGCAATCAAGAAATTAAACAAATAGGTTAGAAGATACAAAAATGAATATAGATAATCCAAAGGCTGACACTGACAAATTTCCACATCCTAACCACGGTATAATAAAATAAATTAACCAAGATGTTTCAATATACTTCCCAGCGATTTTTTTTTTCTTTTTATGTAGCCTTTTGTTATTTTTTCTTTTTATGTAGCCTTTTGTTATGGTTGAACCATGTTTCTACGTTGATCTTAATGACAGAACCATGTTTCTACGTTGATCTTAATGACATAACCATGTTTCTACGCTGATCGTAATGACAAAACATAATTCTCATAAACCACTAACTTGATCATTCCCTAAGTGTTTTCCTAACTACAAATTGTGGGAACTAGCATAACCTCTTCATGATAATACCATTAACATCGATTTAAGAAATAACTAGGCAAAATGGAGAGCAAGCAAATAAAAGTACAAAATGTTGATTGTAAGTAAATTTGACCATACTGTGAAGTGTGAATTCATCACTATACGCTCATATACTTGTAGTGGTAGTGGTTCCAAGAAGAATTCTAAGATAATAGCAGGAGCTAATTATACCCAAATCTTCACAGGTATGAAGGCTCTACTTATATGTCAATAAAATTCAAGCTTTTTTTATTTTTTATTTTTTTTTTAAAGACAGCCTATCAATACCAAGAAAATTCAGGAACTAAAGAGTAATGATATATAGTATACATACTAGACTGATTTACTTGTAGATGCTGCTTTGAAAGCATAGACGCAAGCCAATCGACAACTTCTCTTCTTGACCTTCATTTGAAGCCAACATTAATTCTCATAAACCAGAACAATCATAAATATGTCTATATAATTATTTGATCTTAATGACAATCATATATATGTCTATATAATTATTTGATCTTAATGACAATCATATATATGTCTATATAATTATTTGATCTTAATGACAATTTTAAGAAGAAAAAACTAGTTAAACAATTGCCATGGCATTAAATCCAGTACCAAGACTAGAGGAAATTCCAATGCAATCATACATGATGTTGAACAATAATAACAACATGCCATCATATAAGGATTATTGGGCGTTTTGTTGTTAAGCACCATGAAGTCGCCCTTGAGTATTAAATCTAAGTTTTTTTTTTTTTTTTTTGCTGAATTTATAGCAGGAATGGCATGCAGGGGAGCAGAGCTTCTAATTTAATTCTCCTTCAGGGATGGATTTTGTGTCAAGCATTCCCTCTTGCTTGGATTGTAAATCACTTAGCATATTCTGCAGCTAATTGGTCAGTGACATAGATTGCCTTTTCAAATGCAAGCCTCTCTCTCTCGATCTGGGTTTCACGAACCCATATTTCTGGGTTGTGATTGAACCCAGAAATTTGGGTTCTTTAAACCCAGATCTGCAAATTTAAGGAGAGGGATAGAGAGATAGAAGGGCCAAGAAAATAAGAAACAAAAAAAACTAGAAGGCTAAGGGAGGAAGAGAGAATCATAAAAATGAGAAGAAAGGGGAGGAAAGGAACACCGGAGTTGAGGAAGATGACCGGGAAAAAAGAGAAGGGGATTGGGGAAGAAGATGAAGCTGAAGGGGTTTTATGTAATTTGAAAAATATTTTAATTTAATAAATAATTAAAATTATTAATTTATCTTTAAAATTCTTTTTTGTCCAAGTCAGCGCCAAGTCATCCTTTATTAACGGACAGTAGGGAGGCAGACGGAAAGATGACCTCTTCCTTAACAGAAGGTTTGATTTGCAGGTTTTAGTTAGTAAAAGGGCTGAATTGCACCTTCTGCCTATTGATTTTCCTTAGTTATGAGATAGTTTCATTTTTTTGTCAAAAACGTATTTGTAGCTTTTTACTTTACTATATTTATAAGTTTTAACTTCCTATCTTATACTATGATATTTTTAATTACTCACCTATTAGAATTAAAAAAAATAACCCTTATTTATAATATTTTATTAATTTTATTAACTGACTATTAATTCTATTAGTTAATTATTAGCTAATTGTTAATTGATAAAAGTTTACTTTCAACTAGTAGAGTTAACAGTTAGTTAGTAGAATTATTCTGTTAATTGACTATTAACTTTATTAGCTAACTATTAGTTGATTATTAACTGGTAAAAACTTACTTTCAATTAACAAAATTAATAATCAGCTAATATAGTTAATAGTCAGTTAACAGAACTAACAAAATATTATAAAGTAAGGGTTATTTTTCTCGATTTTAATAGGTAACGGACTAAAAGTGTTATAATATAAGATAAGAGATTAAAATCTATAAATCTAATAAAGTAAAGGATCAAAAGTAAATTTTTGTCCTTTTTTCTGACTAATGTGATTCTTGTTAATTTCCTAGGTGCTCCATTTCCATGATCGAAGGAAACTCTGTGTTTCGTTCTGATTTCATGTTCTCCAATTTCGGTTTCATGATCTCCGTTTATCGTTTTCCATTTTTTTTTTTTTTATGTATTTTGTCAATTGATTTGATTTTGTGTGCTTGTGTTGAGATTCATGAGAGGTTATGTCAATTTTGCTACGTTTTTGGTCTTGTTTCCAAAAGATGGATGACTTTTTTCTTACTCGCTCTGTCCTCGGCTTTTTTTTTTTGGGTGAAAATTGGTAAGAAAAGGTTGTGTTTGATCTGTTGTATCAAAATAGAAAAATTGGATCAGGTTTGCAGGTCTTGGGTCCGTTCATGGACTTTGTGCGGCCTGAGTTTGATTCTGTGAGCCTAGCTTTTGGTTTAGGTGTATACATGGGCTTTAAGGTAGTTTAAATGGTGAGGTAGTCTGATGGACCTCGGTAGTTTAAAAAATGAAGAATAAAGAAAATAAACAAAAAAAAAAAAAAAAAAGTAAAAGGAATAAAATTTATAAATATAA